AATCGTCTATTTAGGCCAACTACACTTCCAGCATATGCTTCGTTGACACTTCATTGTATGTTTTCTTCCTCAGCTCACGCGTTTAGTCAAACTCCGTTTTTACCTAATGATAACAGTAGTTTTATTACAGAGGTATCGGACAAAGCAGAATTACTAAATCCCTTCTGTGATAAACATTTCCCCTCTGAAACTGGCCTCATTTAATAAATTTCGCCGACTTCTGATGAGCTTCTCACTGCTACCAATTTTTGTCCTATCAGAATTTAGAAAGAGATAGGACACCTAAGTGACTCGCAGTCAGTTGAGACTAACGACATCCCAAACTTTCTAATTAAACAGCTAAGGGATCTCTCCTCTCTATCGAGCAGATTCTTCGCAGTCAGAGAAACAGGAAACTGGAAACAGAGAAAATGGAAACGCAAATGTGAGAAAACATTCAATGACATAAGATCTGCATCTTGAAAATGCTGCAACACCTGTGCAGCACGCTACCGTAACGTGATTCAGTCTCGGATGACGGATTTAAGTCTGAATACAAAAAATCAGGCTAATAAAGCTCTTGTTTCGGCGATCTCGTCCTCTTCATCGCAAGCGTATGTACCAATGGCAGCATCTTGCGTCCAGTCCACAAATAACGAGGACTTTATATCTTCCACTCGCCATTACAAAATAGCTAATTTTTTGCTTTTCGAATATTTATAAGGAACTCCCAGATGAAAGACCGGTTAAATAAATAAAGGGACTTAAAGTTCCCCAAATAAAAAAGTTACTGCTTCTGCAACTTTAGACTTCTACCCGAAAGGAACTAACAGAACAGCCCTGTCACAATTGAGGGTCACGGATTTTCTGAATCAGCTCGCCTTCGTCAATTTTCCGAATGAAATAATTTTTAACGAGAAAATAAGAATGAAGATGAGAGATAATAGATGCGAATAGTAAGTATAGAGCGTAGACCTAAAATAAAGAGCAGGATCACAGGACTGTTAAAGCATGCAAAAAAACTAATGGCAAAAAAGCTGCAAATTAATAAGAATAAGTTTTACTGGGGCAAACGTTGGGCGGTAAAGACAAAAGACATCTGAAGCACTGGCTTGTGGGCTAGCCTAGGTTTGAGGTTAGTTTACGGTCCTATAGGACCAAGAAGGGTATACCCTTCTTGGTGAGTTCACCTCCTTACCTTTATACGTCTCCGTCCGAACGATGCCCCTGGAGGGAATCATGTCTTGGCTGCTTTTCTATTCCATTAACCTTAGTTTTTTTCTGAAAAGTATTTTATATGTCCTTTTGAATGGTAACTCCTAGATGCCAAGTTGTGTCCCCGCTACGCCGGAAATTGTATTGAAGTATCTTTTCTGCTCCTGCGCAAACGAGTTGAGACGAGACTTTAATACTTCACTTTTTAAGAGTTCTTTTTAGTTCATCAGCTATTTCTAAATGATCGCACATTTATATCCAGGTCATCTTTAAATGTTGCAAACTCTGGGACTGGATCATCGATAATGGCAAACTTCATTCACCGCCGGTTTTTTACAATGATGTAGGGCCTGTGGTTAATATTCAGTATCAGCTTATCGTACCCTCGTTTGGGTACTAAGGTGCCATTAGCAGACCAGCGGATAACTGTCAAAGTCTTCATTTAAATGCCACTCTTCTTATATTACGTTTCTGGACGACTCTCTATTTATAATCTGGTCTATCCGCCGTGTGCCTCAAAACCATTCAATAGAGTTTCCCAGACTTCCTCTCTCAGGCATTCTCCGTATAAGCCATTTTGTATACTAAGCCCTCTCACCTGACTGCTTTTAAAGGAAACATACCGTAACAGATTACTTCTAGCGACCCATTGACAAATAACCTCTACAAGGAAGCCTGTCCACTTGAAGGGGTTACACAACGACGACCCCAACAGGGCGGCGGCACACCACATGTGATGTCCTACTAACTACGGCGACGAATTGATTGAATATCATTTATCCTCTAAAGATTATTTTCTCGAAAAAAAGCCACTTGTCGAGGAGCATCGCTCATAAAGAACCCATAATCTGCCCTGTTTGTTTACAGAAGCGGCTGCAATTCGTATGTTGGGCCATCTGCTGTTATAGAACTTCCAGTTGGCAATTGCTTGAACGGCGTCTTAAGTCGTTTTTGAAAATTGAAATTACACTTTGTTCATATGATACTTCGGTTTGCCTTGAAAAAATGCGACGGAGAGATCAAGAAATAATATCACTAGTACCCAACGCCGCGTAATTGCGAGCCATGTTCATCGAAGGCCCACTTGAACACTTTCGAAAGTTCCTCTTGTTTTGCGAGATGTAGGCAGTATATAAACAGAGGACCATACGAACGTAATAACTGCTCATGTTGCACATTTGGAAGGGTGAATTGTCCCATCAAACTGAATGCCTTTTCGAGAATCGTCCTCTCCCTTGGGCAACTTCTTTTTGAGGATTTTCTGTGGCATTCCTCACTGTTAACGAAGAAAGGTAACTGCTGTGACAGAAAGGTTACCTGTCGCACCAAACTTGCATACGTCCTTCGAAAGGTGTACTAAACCGTGGACATTGTAACATACTCCGCGGGCTTATGTAAGATAGCGAAAGCAAGAACGAAACTTTCCACCACGTGGTGTGCCAATTCGTTGCACGTTGTTTGAGGAGCGGAATATTGAAAAAATGTTAATGGTGACGGTAACCTGGAACTGATGAGCATATCGGGTCTGATCAAGCGCGGTGGGTAACACGACAGACCCAGTGCAAAGAGAAAAAATACCGACATCTCCGTGTATCCTAATATGCCTCTTGTGTAAAGTCTTGGTACTTGTGCACAGATCCAATCGGGAAAAATTTGCGTATTGAATATTGACATCATTTATGATGTCAGGAAGTATTTTTTTTATCCAGCCCTTCACAAACGCACTTTCGTATAAAATCAAGGTAGACACGGTACGCATGATCACGGGTGAAGCTGCCCAGCTCGTTATAGACATTTCCTTTGGGTTCCATATGACTTCTTGATGCAGCTTCTGTCTCCTAAGAAATGATCTGCCATTACATATAACAGTACTGCACGAGGAATACCGTATCAGTTCATATGACAGACCTATGTCAAGACAACTTTTCTGAATGGGTGTGAGACATTATACTTACGTTCAGAAAATATGTAGCCCGGGAGCATTCGGCGGATAATGTTTGAGCGCTGTACTCGAAGTCTATCTCATCTCATCTCTAAAGGACGACTGCATAGTTGGTCAATAACAGAACCTGTCGACTACACTGTAGTTACTCGCCCAATTGGATGGTTCCGTCACATGTTGCATGAATCCAAAGGCGAAATTCCTCGGCTCTTTCTGACAAGTGTGCCAAGTGGCCACCTAAAGACATGGAGGTACGTGCTGAGATCTGAATGGGATCACCTAAGTAAGACGTGAGGTTTGCACTCAATGTAAATCAGCTATTGTGTCGGACGCGCTGCCATTTGAGCCATAGATTCACGCTCCAGTGGCCGCGATTGGAAATATATGTAACCGCATGTCAGGGAGGTTAACTCGTCTAACTGGATTGTAAAACGAAATACGGACGTTTCGTTCTACCGGCACAAGTAGTCGCCTAGTGATGAACAATTAATGGGCGAGGTCTTGCTCAAGCTGAGGACCCTAGACTAAATTTCTAAAGCAAAGCTTAGCACTTGTCCTGAAAACAGGCCAGTCCAGCGAATGCTATTCCTGCGCGTTTTCAATCTATCTATGACTCTCTACGCCTGCTCTATAATTATAGTATTTTTCTCATGAAATATATTTCTTGAAGACACCTAAGGGCGGGGAGTAATAGACCAAGTACCTCAACGAATAAAAAATCTAGACTGCACCTATGGCAGTTCGGAGAACTAAAATTCTATTTAACCTATAACGCAGACGATTGGTACTCGAGCAACTCATGCATTCAAAACGCGCATTTCGCTAAGAAACCTCCGGCCACATGCCATGTTTATTTCAAGTTCTTGACTCAACAAAGAGCCAATAACAAGGGAATGTTGATTAATTCGGACATCCTGAAGGAGATACGATCGCTGGGACAAGAGTTTCATTCGCCTAACGTTCCATGTCCTGCTCAAACCCAAAATCAGAGACATTAATAGATACGGGACACGTCTCTTTGCTTCTGTTGGCAATTCGGACATATGTTGTACATCGCCATCCTGGCGCATAGACAGAAAGTCTGGACGTGGAATGATGTAGGCCGTCGCTGAACTAAATTATCGCCCTCCTCATCCTTCTTGCTGGTCATCTGGAACGATGTACGATAAGTTTGCTTTTTTTGTCATCAGTTGTGGGAAAGGATGTCCTTTAAACGTAGTTCGTCTCCGCAATTCACTATTTAGTATGCATAATCACTTCTACTACTTTACTTAACTGACTGACAAGAAAGTCCAGCTGTAATGGGACGCGTGTGGAAGCGTCCGTGATAAGCTTTATTGCAGTTACTTAATTGCACTCGTTAGTAGCAAGGACGCTCCAGTGTTCTGATCTTGTCATAGATCTTGCCAGTCGGATACGCTAGGTTAACGAACGCCAACTAAGGAGCTTTCGTTCGACCTCAGCTGTTCAGCGTTTTGAAATTTGACGGCTGGACAACGATCGACCGAGAAACTTGTGACCCTTACGCGTCTGAGCGAACGTTCACGTGACATAACAGTGCAATCACTGCGTCAACTTTTCTTATGCTCACTCCTTCTTCTTTGATTTAGTTATGTCTTTCCGTATGATACCCTGTTCTCCCACTTGCGTTGTTACCAGCAAATTGTACTTCTATCGCTTTTGTGAAGCTAAAATGGCGCATTTTTGTTTTACGTAATCCCTCAAGTTGTTGTTTATTCCGTATTTCTGTCTGCACTTAGTAAACCGCTTTATTTTATTCTTATTTTGACTATAGAAGTGAAGCGCCCCTACAAGACCGAGTTCCGCAGGACCAGAGAAGGCCATATAACGCAGTCCGGTGGCTATGAAATTATTGAATAAGAACATCGACCGGTACGCCTCGGGCAGTATCACATTAGTAGCCGAAAATGAGGAGGACATGTGGCTCACCTACAATTTAGTCCAGGTGGGAGATAGTTTTCGCTGCTCCACCGTCCGCAAAGTGCAGACGGAATCGTCAACCGGCAGTGTAGCCTCCAAGCAGATCCGCCTGAACCTCACTGTCGCGGTGGAGACCATCGACTTCGACACCCAGGGTTCAGCCCTGCATCTGAAGGGTCGTAACACGGAGGAGAATCAGTATGTCAAGATGGGAGCCTATCATACCCTGGCTATTGGCATCAACGACAAGTTCACCATCACTAAGCAGGAATGGGACAGCGTGTCGCTGATGTTGGTGGAGCAGGCGGCGGATCCAACGCAACAGGCTGATGTTGCCACAGTGGTGATGCACGAAGGTTTGGCTTATGTATGCCTTCTTACCAGCTCCACTATGCATGTGCGTGCGAAGATTGAATGCACCATCCCCCGCAAGCGTCCCAACCTGCCCACAACTCAGCATGACAAGGGCATCGCTCGTTTCTTCGATCAAATTATCCAGGCCATAGAGCGTCACGTGCGCTTTGATGGTATGTTATCGGGTCCCCATATTTAAACCTTTCTGTCATTTCTGTCTATGCAACTGCTTTTCTATGGTGAGGAAAGCGTTTTTAAAGCGCTTGTGCACGTACACTATATATTGGCCTTCGCCTCTTGCAATATGTAGTACTGTAGGCGGTGCTGGGAGACATATTTAAAGACCCAAACTGTGGAATTCAGCATTAAAACCAATTTCTCGTGGATTTGAGCAAATAGGCAATTTTTACAACTCTCTGTAACAAATTTAGTGGTTGCTGCTGCCTGTCCTGAGACTTCATTTGTAGGCCTTCAGACAGAGACAAGGCAAAATGGCCTTGCCGATTTATCCAGTTTTTGTTGAACATCTAAGCATCGGTGTGTTCCCTGTCTATTTTACTGTCAGTTTGCACTGGAGAATTTGACCTTATGACTAACAGGAACAAGCACACTACGCCTCGACTCGAATGTCATCCATTTATATTTAAGTCCACACCCTATTTAACTGGTGCCTGCATGCTCGCGCGTAGAGTACGCCGCTTTAAGATATCAAATTCCTGTTCTGGAGTCTCCGCTATCGGGGTATAAACTGGCTCTGAGGGGGCTTGACTCTCATTACTGCAGGTTGTTCTTCATTTTCCTTAAATCGACCACACGTTCGACATCGCGGACGCAAAGGGGATTTTTCCGGTAATTGAATATGCCGAAGACCCCAACTAGGCAGAATAACTCGGAATGTTTGCATCCCCTAGATATCACTGACGAGCTCTACAAATTTCTCAAGTTTGCAAACCTGAGGGTTATCCAATCAATAATCCTCCGCAAAACGACTGTACTGCCGCTGACGGTTCGATTGGAGACGGGAATAAGCACTCCCCCCCGTGCTACAGGTGGCCACGTCCTAAATTCCGTGAGGGCACCTATCCCTGTGTCCTAACTTTATCCCCAACACTAACCTTAGCTCTCTGATCCCCACCACTAGCCCTCATAACCCGAATCTTCCCCTCCTAACCCTAACTCGCATGCAATTTAGTGGAAAGCCACCTGAGTATGGGGGGTCCGCATTTCTGTGCCCCACAAAAAGTTCTTTTTGGTAAATTATGCAACAGCCACTGAAAGTGTGCGGCCGACGGGAATTATTTTAACTTTTTGTTGCGGCTCGGAAACGCTACCCTCCTTGGTCAACAAATTCTCACCTTCGTACTATTGTTGATTTCGGCTGTTGTAGTACTACCTGCCGATACCTTTAATTTGAGGTACTTCGCGGACTGCTGCGACTATGATTTACAATTAAGTTAGAGTTTTACGGTTAGGATTTAACGTCTGCGGCTTAGGGCTAAGGTCGGGGTCAGGGTTCAAGGTTAGCTTTGGGGTTAGGGTTTAATGTTGGTATTGTGTAATTATTTACCATACTGGCAACACAGGTAGAAGCTAAAAGCCCAGACACGCGTGTTCAGCCAATCTTCTGCTGTTGTCCGACGCAGCTGCGAAGGGTTCGACTCATCAGTGGGTCCCCCAACCTTCCCCGAGTGTTTTGTGGTATATGGACTCCTGTTTCACTCTGCCTTGTTTAATTTCCGAGAAAATGCGCGAACTTGGAGTTAATCCTTCGGAACAGACCTTCTCAGGCACGGTCCGAAATTTGATGTTAGTGTTGGTGTTTAGGGCTAGGGAGTCATTCGGCACCCACTTCCCACAACTTCCGTCTACGGCGTACGTCTGATTGGTCACATTCTTGACGGGCCAATCACTCCTATTTTTCGTGGAATTATTTTTACTGGTTGCCTGCCGTGAAGTTTTGTATTGCGCGCTGCTCACGCTGAGATTTACTACCCCAATAAAACAGACCAGCATATTTACCTATAGTACTTGCGTTTTTTTCCATAGTTTTTGAACATTCACTGTTCTCCTGCAGCCCCACCACGACTCCCATATCGGATGTGCCTGTGCTTCCCTATTTTCCAGCAGTACCGCGTATCCGAACTTTGCCAACCTTTTGTCAAGCGGCATGATAGAGAAAGGCGGCGGAATGCCACTGATACTCCCTATACATTTATTTGCGCCATACAATTCTCAGTGCGGTAAAACCAACTGGCGTTAGCCAACCATATTAGTGCTGTTTGTGGTGAGGAATCCCAACAATTTATAAACCAAAAATGTGTTCCTAGTTTTTTTAAAGTGAAAATTATTTTCAAACTTGACCCCACCTGATTTCATTGAATCATAAATCCGCATTTTCTCATGTAAAAGGACACTTCGTGGGAAATTTTTTACTTCGCCCTAAAACTTCTTCATAGCGGAATGCATTTGATCCTGAACTGCGACGTTTATCATAACACGACGGCTACGCACATATTTTTACCCTAAAACATCCTGTCCTTCCTTAATCCAAATAATTTTTCTCTACGCAATGCAAGTCTGGTAAACGAAATTTCAACGTCCGTGCATTTCATCAGTTGGATCACCCACTAGAAACGTTTTACTTCCCTGAGCGGCTGACAAGACTGCCTTCTACTGTTTTAACTTGTATCTCCCTCTCAGTTGTCAAGTGCGTCATTGTGGCCAGTCCGGGCTTCCTGCGTGAACAGTTCTTTGAATACCTCTTTCAAATGGCTACCAAGGAAGAAAAGCGGGTCTTTTTGGACAACAAGGGCAAATTCATGCTGGTGCACTCATCGTCAGGTCACAAGCATGCCCTGAAGGAGGTTCTCAGCGATCCCTTGGTACTCAGCAAGATATCCAACACGAAGGCCGCTGCCGAGATCACCGCTCTTAACGACTTCTACCAGATGCTCAAGGTGGACTCCTCAAGGGCCTTCTATGGGTAGGCTTGCACTAACTCCCTACCCTTGAGGGCGTTTTGTTTACCCTAACTGCTTTCACTACCCTCGAGATGGCAGATTCTTTTCCTGTTTCGGGTTTCGAATTCTGACTGCCGTCCTCAATGCGCCGATTTCAATGTCGCAAAACGACCTACTTCTGCAAAGCGAACCAGTGAGAGGCACTGCTAGAACCTCGACGTTATTGTGCTGTTGACGCCTCGGTTTGACCTCACTTTTCGATACTGTGTTCTGTGTGACCGCACGTGCAAGTTTGATTGTGTCGACCACTGCCAGAAATTGTCCACCACATCGCTAGGCCGTCAAACCCACGTCTTGTGACAGAGTAGCATGATGTTTGTGTGCATATGTGGAGGGTGCAGATTGTTGATGTGAGACCCATTTGAAGCCGAGCAGCCCTTTTCTCCACAAAATATCGCTCTGCGTTTTACCTTCTTCCTAACTCGCTGACCTGTCTGATCGTTTACCATCCGTTCCTTATGCTGGTACCCGAGCACGGTCTTCGGTTCCTTATTCACTTGTTTCAACCCCGCTAGTTCGCAGCCAGATGCGCTTCAGGGTTCCCTCTGTTTTCTTTACTAGGTTGCGTTTTTGACAAACTTCGACTGCAATATCTTTAAACAGTGACGAGGCAAAAATCAGCCTTACCTTTTTCGAACGTTTTCGCACAGTGCGGAAATTACAGTTCTGTTTGCCCTATATCTCTCCATAGAGTTATTGTGTGGATGAATTCTACTCACCTGCATGGTCTCGCTAACGAAGTTCTTTATTTTCAAATAAACAGTGTTAGGCTCGGAGGCTTTTTAGCTGCGATCCTTTATCTGACGTTATTAAAGACCTTTAGTGGTCTTCACCAAGTCGGTTACTTGTTTCAGTTTTAATGTTCTTTTGAGGTTGTGGGAATTCTCTGCATTTATTCCGGTACTGCCCACCGAAACCGTAGTAATCGTGACCGAGTCCGTCCACCGTGTGCTCCACATCAGGGTGAGAACAGGGACGATAACTTGTGCGTGAATTTGTTTATAGTGGTGTAGACTTACGCAGAGTCTACTGCACTCCCTCCCCCTCCCTCGTCTGCGTCCGGTGTCATGCCAGAGTCAAGAAGACCGGCGGCAAGAGAGTACCCTGCTGGCTGACACGTCGACAATCCGCACCTAGGCGTACCACCACACCTCTCATTCCACAACAAACACACTGACTAGGAGTTTTTGCAAACGGGCTACACGGTAGATTCGCTGGACCAACACGAAAGCTAGATCGGGGTCCGTCAGGCGTTATTGGGGATGTGGTAGTAGGCCCAGGTGCAAGCCCACACCGCACCAGCTGGGACTCGGGCCGCTTCCCTTTTTTCTTGCTGTGTAGAACCTCTCTCTCACTCCCTTTTCTCACATATCCGCCTCCTCCATTCCTCTGCCAGAGTGAAGCATGTGGAGGCGGCGGTGGAGGCTTTCGCTGTAGAAACTCTGCTCATCTCCGACGCCCTCTTTCGCTCGAAGGATCTGGCAGCCCGGAAACGCTTTGTGGGCCTTGTCGACTCAGTGAAGGAAAACCAGGGCAATGTGCGCATATTCTCCAGTCTTCACGTCTCTGGTGAACGTAAGTGGCCTGTACAGCCTTTCTACTGCTCTCTCGCCTCCCCCCTGCACGCGGTTAATCCCATAAAGCTTGACCTGTAATTCGGGCCATAAAACGTTGCCTTGTGGCAATGACTAGCGTGGGCGGATGACGTAGAAGACCAAGCAAATGAGTGAAGGCCTTTCGGACCAGAGAAGTAGATTACTCAAGTTCGTCGGGACTTTTGCGTGCATCAAGGTCGCGACTGATGATGGGCACCACTACCTCGGGATGGGCGGTGGTGACTTCCGCGCGGATAGGATTCTAGCAAGGTAGATTTGCGATGCAACTGTCCGTACCCGCTCTAAAGGCAAAACTAGATGAAGCACATCGTTGACAGGCATCAGCGCAGTATCTGACCTGCCTACGCATGCCACGGCACGGCTGGCCCCCTTTAAATCAGGTTTCACGTACATTCACTGGAGAGACCTACCGGCTACCTTCATTCTGTTTCTCCTCAGAACAAAACAGCTACCAGGGCATATCCGCCGCGCCTGACAAATTAAAACTGGGCGTTAGGTGGGAGCGGACTAGAATGTCCAGATCTTGCACTCTGCCATCTGGTACGACCGCCAGCCCGCCCATGGTTGCCCGGTGGAAGGTTGGCCCGACAATTCCGAAAGACGAGACGGAATAGCCGTAAAGAAAGGCCGCGACCCTGCCTGGGGCCCACCTATGCTGTTTTTCCCTTGTCTTTCCACCGGCATCGGTACCATCCGCTTATTACTGCAGGCGGGTTATTGTTCACAAGGGGCTGCCGGTACTGTAGTTTCCTGGTTGACGGTTGAACTTGTGACCCCGATTTAATCCTTCAGGTTACTGACCGACAAATTGAACTACCCGCAAAGGAGGATTGATTCACTGTTGCGCGCTCACTTCTGAAAGCCCATTGTTAATTGCTTCAGATGCCCCACTGCCAAATTGGTGTCCACGCGGCAGGGTGAAGTCCACACTGTCCCTTGGGTCGATACGACTCGCATAGCTTTGCAGGCCTTCAAAGGTGCCTATGGACTCGCACCAACGTCCCACTCGCCTCAGACCCACGGTGTTCCCTCTTAACTACTGCGTCGGCTTCACCAGATATGCTGTCTCTGATCGTCACCCATAGAATGAGCCTCTATCACGTGAGGCAAGTCATAACTGAAGCAGCAGGAATTGCTGCAAATCGAAATTCACACATTTTCAGCCGCCTTGGCTGCTAATCTCTCTCTATCTCTCTATCGGGTGGCTTGCTATGGAAAGGAACTAGTTACAGTAGATATGCTATCTCGTGGGATGTTAACCGATATTGTGAAACGCATTTTCGACTGGATATGATAAATTAAGTATGGTTGTAACGTTAGTTTTCCTGCAGCATAATCGCAAGATATTTCGGACACGTTAGGCTACCGGCTTTTAAGCTAGGTTCTTTCCGGCCGTCCGCAAAAACTACACTGCGAAAATGGCTACTTAAGTAGTATGAATTTTCTCCATTGATTTTCGATGCTTTTATAATGTCACACGTATTTTATAGAAAACGCATGCAAACATCTGTCTTGGTAGCAAATTGCGTCTTGTCTAAAATTTATGCTTAAGGGAAGAACACAATTCGGTTTCAAATTTTTTTCCAATTCTCGAATAATTTTGAACGCGGCCTACCGTTGCACTTGCATCCGGGCTTTCCAAACTACAAATCCATATTTTCCCTGTAAGGAAAATAATGCGTGTCTATAAGCTATTAAGAAGGTACCATACAGAATATTCAGTGGATTTGAACCACACTGCATACTTTACAAGCATTATTAATAAATGTGGTGATGTAATATTTTATAAATAGGCATTCCAAGGTCTTGAAAAATCGCATAATTAGAGACTTTTTGAAAAACCGAAAGACTCTCCCTTCAAGCATATAATTTAAATAAGACGCCATCTTCTACCAAGGGAATAAAAAAGCTAATGTTTGATGCATGTTTTCTACAAAATATATTTGAGTTTAAAAAGGCGTCAGAAATCAATGGCGAAAACGCAGACTGCATAACTAGCTATTTTTGCTGAGTGTAGTTTTTGCATATGGTCGAAAAAAGCTCGTCCAGAAACCGACATCTTGACGTGACTGAAATATAGTGCGTTTATGCTGCAGGGTACTTAATATTAAAACCCCGCTAAAGTCATATTTTTGAATCGAAAACGCATTCCAGAATTTCGGCGAACATTTCACGAGGTAGCACATCCGCTGTATTTTTAAACCTGAAGTCCATGTATACCAAACAAACCACGTGGCTAAATGTCAGGGACTCACCGAGGAGCCTCAATTCCCGTTAAACGGCAACAGAATAGTCGATGAAAAATTTGTTCGTGGTTCTAGCCACTACCTCTGCTGACGCTATAGGTAATCAGTCCCAGTGTCGTGTAAAATCCAAAACGTTTACGCTACTTTTGAGCGGACTGAAACGCAAACCGTAAACGGCTCCTTCCTCGAAAGTCACATGTCTAAACTGAGATTTCACTGGAAATCTTGCATAAGCCTGAATTCGCCTTATTTTGAGTACCGGTTCATAATTTATCCTTGGTAAATTCACCCCTTTTAAACTTCCAATGCATGCATCAATACTCAGTTTATCAGAATAGTGATATTCCTTCTGGCCAGACCCAAATGGCCTTTACATTCTAGCTGTGAGGGACAGTTTCTGCAGCGTGGATTTTATTGTGTACAGTGGTATCATTGGAAAGAATAGGAATAGACGAAAGTGGCGCCGCTTCTAAATGCAGCAGCATTAGTCGTACTCTTCTCACCAGTAATACCATTCCTCTCAGCGCCAGCCCAAACTTAGTTGTTATAGTTTTTTTTCTTTCCTGCAGGAGTATACTTCTCATCGTAAATACCCGTGTCTGCAGTTAACTTATCCTCACATATTCTTCCACACTGCCCTTCCCAGAGCTGAACCAGCTGTCCGGTATCGCGGCCATCCTCCGTTTCCCAATTCCAGAACCGGAGTCGGATGATGAGGACTCCGATGAGGAGCAGGAGGACCAGGGGAATCAACTGAAGCCCGATGAAGCAGGCCCCAGCCTATCGGCCGCTGCCGCCACCTAGGCCTACTTTTTTGCTTTCACCCCTCCTTGTCTGTGTTGACTTGTACAAAACGCACTCCCTTACAGCAGCCAGGCTTTCTGTCTGTGTGTCGATCAATTTGGCACGCTTTTTTTCTGATATGCCCCATTCGGCGCGTCCTTATTTCTTCCCCGACATTCTGTACAAGGATTGGTAGTCGGCAAATATTCATTATCTCTCTTGGAGTCCCGGTTTACTTGGCTTCAGGGTAATTGTTAGTTTTGGCATTCTTCAACGTGCATTCTCATGTCACTTCTCTTAACAGTCGGAGAGGACGTATTAATATCAAGGCGGTGAACATTTTCTTTTCTTTACGGTGCTAATGCTCATCATACGAAGGGAACTAAGGCCCACTGCCGGCATTTAGGGGTTGCATGCTGACTGGCAGAGTAGCCGACAATCCTCTTTGATTGCCACATTTTTTGAATCGCACAACTCATGAGCATTTGCCGCTGCGTTGTATTTGTTCGCTACGCGACAATTAGAAGGTATGATATCCAACGAATCGGTATCTAGTGTGATAATCCCATCTTTCCCTTATTTATTTCGTCTGACAGAGCTTTGGTATCACCAACCTAAATGTTCACGAGTGGAACTGGGTTTTTCCCGAAAAACGTCACCTTTTCCATGAAACAGTTTCCGTCTGTAATGTTTGCAGCTTTCGGGAGTTTACTTGTTGCTATCTATGATCTTACAAGTCATGCCTAATTGCTATGGTTATAGATCGCCTGAAGTCACTTTGCTTTGATCGATCAATTCTTTAAGCATAACCACGAATTCCGTGGTCAGCTTATCCGTTGGCTGGAGAAAATTTTCCTGCGGCCTACTCGCGTGCGTTTGCTGTGGACTTTGTGTAGGAATGACCGCGTAGGTGAGTCGTGCTTGCCAACTCAAAGTTTCGAGATTTTGAACAGACAACTGTGACCACAGACAGCCTGAAATGTCTAGAGGTGACTACACTTTGACTGCCTATAAGATATTGAGAGTAACACATTTTTACCTTTCCTAATACGATAAGTCTTTGAGACCACTGACTATCTTCGTTGCATCTGTTGTAGAAGGTCGATATCTTTCCATATCCACAGTGCCCATTTGGATTACGAAGACGAAGAGCAACAACAATTATTTTTTAATTACGTATTATGGCTCTAGCAATAATTGCGATTTTATACTAAGTGTGAAAATGCGAATTTGATGTACGTCAATGCAGTCAATGCTTTGCCTTCAACATTTTAAATAGATACAAATATACGTCAATCTCACAGCAGTAGGCTCCTGGTTTCTAGTTCAAAGTTGATCTTTAAATCTAAGCATGACATCCGGTCGGACTTCCATGTTGCAAGAAAATTTGCGGATCATGCTTTTCTGCAGCTTCCTGACACTCCACAGTAGACGTCTGTGGACCTGTTGGTCGGTCAATCGCTCACGGATAGGTATGCCAAACCTTAGCTTATTTGAGACGAGTTTAAATATGTTAATATAATAAATATCTATTGGACCCACTGTGTCCTTCAGTGAAGGAATAGCGTCAGTTGGCTGACTGGTGTTTTGGTCACTCGCCCACTTAGCCATCGTCCGTCTATAATTCGCAATAACAGTTACTTATTTAGTAATAGTAGCAGTACATATTCGCGTTCGGATCAAAATGCCTTATTCGTCATCTCCAATTGATTAGCAAAGCGCATGGTTGTGTCACGTCTATGGAGCTCTTTAGAACTCCCCGTAGGTCACTTATGTCGCCCAGACTGTACAAGATTAGAAAAGACTTACAACAAGGCAATCGTTGTGTCCCAGTTCTTTCTCCCTTCAAGCCTTCCCATCTAGTGAGGCCCACTTGGTCTTGCGAAATCCGTGTGATTCAGCCCGATCAGGCTACTGCTGGACACGGGAATAAGTGATGCCCTCTATTTACTACGGCGGTCTTAAACCTATCACGACGTATTATAAGTCGTTGGGATCCAGGATTGACAATTGACCTTGCAGTCGGCCCTGTGTGTTTTTGTTGAGTGGTCGACTTAAGTACTGTCAGTTAAGTTCAAGGGTTCCTCAGTAGGATCTACATGGCCGGCTTTAAACGCCGAAAATTAATTGTTCGCGTAGGTTGTGTAGTTAGGTCAATATGAATTATTCAAAATCTGCCAAAATATCTATAAATTATGTGAGCCTGGTAGTCATCGGGTTGATTCTAGGTGGATTACTTAGGAAATCCTGCTTGGGCAGTCAACTGACTGTATCAGATTTGGTGGATTCCAGACGTTTCAGTAGGCTGGGCGGGGAACTTGACCCAAATGTGATTAAGTTCACGTCGTCCGGTGGGGCCTCGTAGCTAAGGTGGCTAGAGCGTTGGCTGTACCAAAGTTTGCTCTCGCGGGTTCAAATCCCACCGAGGCGCCGAGTTTTTCGCAGTTGAGTCAATATAATTTATTTTTCCTTAAAAGGATTAGTTGATATATTTAATTTCTGAGATACAAATTGCGAGAAATTCATACCTTTCCAATTTAGTGGATGAGCATCTTGGAGATCCTGTTATTTAAAAGTTGACTAATGCAGTCGCCTTTTAACATATTCCGCTGCCTTCCTCAACACCAGTTATGCGTGTTCACACTAAACAAGTCAACGTTTTATGCCTCCTGGGCGGTGGCTCTTTGTAGGGATTGGTTTACACCCCTGAATTTTCAAGCTGGAACACCTGAAGGCCTTTTTAAACGACCTCAAGCAAGTTTCAAATGTTTATTATATATATGCTTCAACGGAAGCTACAGACTGACCATAAATATAATATCTTCAGACGTATGTTTTAGTCATTCTCAAACTCTGCAATTCAGGACTGCTTGGATTACCTTGAACATGAAATATTAATCCTTTTTGATACCTTTTATGGCCAAATAACTGATTCCATAATAGGACAAAAAACATACGCCACTTAGATGACTAGTTGCGCTGCTGTGCAGCTTGTATAGGCGGCTTGAAGCTTTTGAGTTAACACCTGCATGCTACGGTGTGCGAATTAACTCCAGATTAGGTGTTACAAGCTGTTGAATATTGCAGCTCCACTTGCGTACCGTTTTCCTGTTTTAAAGCCATACCGTGGGTTTATGTCAACTTTTCCAGGGTCTCGGCGCTCGCTGAAAGTTTGAGTGATGCAGGCCGGATGAAATGCATCCTGACACCTGTGCCTATTTGCGAAATTTGCGCCCAGGTTTCAGGAATTAAGTTTGTCCCAGTGATGCCTACGAATGCAGGACGAGTCCCCCTTAATCACTTAGGCAGAAACCAATCATGTACCAATTGGAGGAAGGGGATGCAAACTAAAGGTTGCACGGGGCGCCAACCCATACAGTGAGGCCCCACGTGAGCGCAGAAAAAGGAAGGATGGCCAGACAGAGTGCCCAGTTATTGACAAAGAAGGAGTAAGTGCAGTTAGGCCGCGCAGTTACAGCAGAGTTCAACTTACGAGACACTAATTGCAGTACTCTGCCAGGATACCTTTCGTTAATTACCCAGCCAGCCTTCTAGGATTCTAATCTGAAATTATTTCATGTTCGGTTTTATCTGGAACAATGCCTGGCCACGTGGGCTTGCAAAAATCGGTTTATCATTCTCCGCCGTTTTGAAGCCTTGTATCTAACAGTTTTTTAACATATTCTCCCACAGTCGTTCCTCTGGAAATAAGGTATCTTTAACAGTGCATGTGTAAGGCATCCTGGATTATATTTAAAACCATATACCAAATACCAGCTGGCCTTTTAAGCCTAGACTTAACAGGTGACCTACGCCAACACTCGCAATTTTCCATGATTTAACCGGTGACGGGTGTTCATCTGATTTTTGTATTGTCGGATGTCGTAAATTAACAATAAATAGTCGTGCACAAAAGTTCGTTTCAAGAAAAGTTTTTTGTAATAAAGGTTTGATATCTGATACGAATAAGTAAACGTGAGGGATAATACCTGCCACCCACTTGTTGGTGCTTTACGAACTCAGATTGTTTTGCTTTGCTGTGAAAATGTCGATTTAAGCGCTATACACCAACGTCGATGAGCCTTGGTGACATTTCTCGTGCAATCGGCATTCTTGACGCTCTTATTAACTTGAAAAGATGTCCTACTTTATAGCAGACGGAGGCTGTCTGAGCACATCACATTCGCACTTCTGCTGATATGTCACCTGGTACCTCCTCCATATTACCCTCTTCTGTCCCAGTGGTCTTCCAGAATGTCCTTTTCTCAAAGTGGGATTGCGGATCCCCCGGACGGCAGACTTGGAGTAAAGAAAAAAGGATGCAAGAGCTATTATCCATTTCAGTGACATATCTGTTAATTTCTTTATGTTTTGGCAGATGTTGAATAATTCATATTGACGCAACCGTGAAAAGCTCGGCGCCTTGGTGGGATTCGGACCCACGCAGTAAGGGGAAGGCTTTAGCACAGCCAACGCTCCAACCACTTAAGCTGCCAGGCCCTGCCGCACGACGCGAGGCGGCGGGGCCTCGTAGCTCAAGTGGTTAGAGCGTTGGCCGTACTAAAGCCTTCCCCTTACTGTCGTGGACTCGAATCCTACCGAGGCGCCGAGTTTTTCACAGTTGAGTCAATATGAACATCTGCGTATATCTACTTCGAACTACGGCGTCGCTGTTGCTGATCAGTTTGTGTCCCCTGCTTCGATGCCGAATTTGCACTTTTGCCATGTAAACAAGAATACCAACGGCCAGTTTACGGGCCGTGTCGCAACATAAATCCTGAGAGAAGGGCCTAGATTCTCTGTCTGTTCGACCGTCCTGGTGTTGTCTTGTTCGCTTTTGGACTGGGAACAGTGCCCATGGAGCATTAGATGAGACCGGAGAAACTTCTCGTCTGCTACCACGTCCAACCTATCTACGCACCCTATTCTCGTCGTTCGCTATAGGTAGAGTAAGTGCAGTAGATACGTCATCTCATGAAATGTTAACTGAAATTCCGGAATGTGTGTTTAAGTTGAAAAGA